GGAATTATCAAAGTAGTTGTTATAACTATGTTTTATGGAAATGGTAAATGTTTTTGAAGTTGGATGGAAAAGATAACTCTCAGAGGAGAAATAAAAACAAACAAAAAAACAAGTAAGAACGTCATTATAAATCACAGTGTAGAACTTGACATAAAAATACACAAATAAACCACTGGAACAGAAAGTCCTGAAACTAACCCACACACATATATTCACTTGATAAATGACAAAGATGACCTTGTAGGGGCACCATAGGAAGGGATGTTTTTATTAAATGGTACAAAAACCTGGCTATCTATATATATTTTGGGGGTGGGGTTAGGGATTCACATGTTGTTCCCACAGAGTCACATGTTAAGCACATGCTTCTTATCATGGAGCTGCACTCCTAGCTCCCCTGGCTAGCTATATGATAAAATAAAATTTTATCCTTATCTACATCAGACAGTCATCTGTATGTATAAATCAGTCCTACAAACATGAGCAACTATAAACAATGCAGCTTCTACAAAATATGAAAACATCTATACAACTCCAAGGTAAAAAAAGATTCTTTTAAGAAACATACGAAAAGATCAATAAATCTGAGTACATTAAAACTTGGAACCTCTATTCATCAAGACACCATTAAAAACAAGCTAGAGAGAGGGGCCGGGGATTTAGCTCAGTAGTTTCGCTGCTTGCTGCGCAAGCGCAAGGACCCGAGGTTTGATCCCCAGTACCAAAAAAAACCCCAAAAAAACCCCAATAAGCTAGAGTGGAACACATATGCAACACATAGAACCAAAAAGCTCTATATAAAGAATACCTAACAAATCAAGAAGAAATACAACCCCCAAAAGGAAAGTAAAACAATCCTAGGTAAGGACCATAGGAATGGAGTAGGAATCACACACACACACACACACCCACACACACACAAATATTCCAATGGCAAATAAACATGAAAAATGCTAAATAACTTCAACAATCATCAGAGAAATGCACAATGAAATACCACTCATTACATACCCACTAAAATCACTATAATTAAATAACAAAATGAGGTTTTTCAAGACCTTGGATTCTTTTCATATATTGCTAGTAGCAGTACGAACTGGTAAACACACTTTCTAAAAAATTTTTATTAGTATATTATTGTGATACATAGTAAATACATTCAATGTTGGAGAACTGGCACATATACATATTGCATCTTGATTCTTTTTACTTCCCCTACCCCTCCCTCTTCCTTCCATCTCCACCACCCTAGATCCCTTTCTCATCCTTTCAAAGAATCAATTCTTTGATTCACTAATCTTTTGTATTGCTTTTTAGTCTTGGTTTCATTAATTTCTGCTCTAATCTTTATAATTTCTTTTCTTCTATCAGTTTCAGACTTGGATTATTCTTGTCTTTCTGGGTCTTTAAGATCCATTATTAGGTTATTTATTTGGGATTGCTCTATTCTTTTTATGTGTGCATTTATAGCTATAATCTTCCCTTTTAGAACTACTTTTATTGTGCTGCATGGGTCTTGGTATGTTATTGCTTCCACTGTCATTTGATTCCAGGAACTTTTTTATTTCTTTCCTGATTTCTTCTGTGATCCACTGATTATTCAGTAACACATTATTTAAATTCCATATGTTTGTGTAGTTTATGTGGCTTCTTTTGCTGATCTCAAGCTTCATTTCAACTATGATCCAATAGTATGCAATTTTTTTATTTAAGCATGGTCTACGATCTAACATATGGTCTATTTTGGAAAAAGTTCGATATGCTGTTAAGAAAAACATGCATTCTGCTGTTGGTGGATGAAACACTGTAGATATCCATTTGTTCAATGGTATGGCTTAACTGATGCTTTTTTTGTTGATTTTTTTTCCTCTGGTTGACCTGTCTAATTGTCCTCCATTCTGACCGTATTGGTGTCTATCCTTTTAAGTTGTTTGTTTTATGAAACTGAGTGTGCTGACATTTGGTACATAGATATTTACAATTGTTATCTCTTCCTGTTGAATTATTCCTTTTACTAGTATGTAATAGCCATCACTGTCTATTCTGATCAGTTTTGGCTTGAAGTCTGTGTCTGAAAATAAGACAGCTATTCTTGCTTGCTTTCAGGCTCCAGTTGAAAGGAGTATGATTTTTTATGCTTTCACTCTCAGTCTTACATACTTCCTCTTGGATGAGGTGTGTCTCTTGTAGGCAATTTTGATTCCTTTGTTTTAAATCCAATCTGTCTATCTTTTGACTGAGGAGTTGAAACAATTGCCCTGGTGTTATTATTGTAAGGTGTTTATTGCATCCTGCCATTACCTTATTTTTCCAGTACTGATTCCTTTATTTTTTCCTTTTGTTTATGTACACTTTCCCTTGGATTCTTTGGTGCTGCTGGCCTGTCTCTGTCTAGGACAGTGGTGGTGAACCTATAGCATGCGTGCCACAACCAGCTGTTTGTTATCACTGAAAGCTCCAAAAGTTTCACCATCATCAGTCTAGAACTCCATTAAGTATTTTCTGAAATGCTGGTTTAGTGGTCATGTATTTCTTTATGATTTCTTTGTCATGGAAGATCTTCTCTGTCAGTTTTGAAGGCTAATTTTTTAAGCTATAAAAGTATGCATTGACAATCGTTTTCTTTTATGAATCGAAAAACTTTGCTTTGGGCTCTCCTGGCCTTTAAGAATTGTGCTGAAAAACCTGCAGTTATTCTGATAGGCTTGCCACTATAGCTTACTTGCAGTTTTTCTGACAGTATTTAGTATTCTCTCCTTTGGCTGAATTTCTGGAATTTTGATTATGATGGACATATAATGGAGAGGTTTTATCCAGGTCATAGCTAATTGGGGTTCTTTCTATATGTCTCTTTATATACTACTTGAATATGAAATTTTTTCTCTAGATTTGGAAATTTTTCTGCTAGGATTTCAGTGAATACATTTTTATACATTTTGAGTCATCTTCTAATTTTTTCTTTATTCCTGTAATTCTGAGGTGGGTTTGGTTTTTTTGTTTGTTTTGTTTTTTTGTCATCTTGCAGCTGCAGGATCTAGCTTTCGCAATGCCCTGTCATTTTTAGGGTATCGTTGAGTTTATGATCTACTATATCCACCTTGTCTTTTACTTCTGACACTCTGTCCTCACATCGGTCAAGTCTGCTACCAATGCTTTCCATTGTATTTTTTGTATCATTGATCTCTGCTTGCTTTCTTCCCATACTTTCTCTTTTCCAATGTAGTCATTCATGTTTTGTATTGTCCTGTTTAATTCAATTAGCTTATTGCTTGTTTCTTCTTTAATCGTGGTGACCATTTTATTTAGTAAAAGCCTCTTTGAGCTCATCAAATATCTTAGGCATTTGCTTACATGTTTCTTCTCTTAACTCTTCAAATATTTTGACCATTTGGTTTTTGAGTTCTTTGCCTATGGCTTCCTCTACTTCAGTATCCATGAGACCAATTTTTTGGGAATTAGGGGTTGAGGGGCATCTTGTTGCCTTGTTTTCTCATGTTTCTATTGTTTTTGTGCTGTTGAAGATCAATTAGGGTAGAGAAACTCTTGACACTACTGTGCAGAGATCTCTTTAGTTAAGTTTGGTCTTCTTGTGATGTATCCTTGGATTTATGTTTTGGTGTTTATACCCCTCTTCAATGTATTCAGCATGATATTTGAGGGTCTTCTTAGTGTCCAACCTTCTGGGGGCTTGATCCCAGGCACCATTCTCATGTTCACAGAAACAGGACCTGGGCTTTGCATTCCAGCCTGCTTCCTTCTTTTCTCTGCATTATTCTCATTTTCTCAAATTTATCTATAGTTTTTGGTTTTCCTGACAGCTCTTTCTTGATTCCTGGAGCCCAATTTCTCTTTGCTAAAGTTGTTTTCTAAGTGACTCAGTTCCAGGTCTCAGAGTCTGTATTTTGCTGTCAGTCTTTACTCTGCCATTTTTAATAGTAGAACCACTTTGGAAAACTATCGGGCTGAACATACACTTTTGGAAGATTCTGACCCAGTCATTCTACTCCTAGATACACAGCTTGAAGAACCATGTTCCCTAAGCCTTATACAAAATTTCAAAGTAACATGATTCATAATATCACAGAACTAGAAACAACTATGACATCCATCAACATTAGGAGAGAAAAACAGGGCTGGGGATTTAGCTCAGTGTTTCCGCTGCATGCCTCGAAAGTGCAAGGTCCCAAGTTCAAGTCTCGGTATCAAAAAAAAAAAAAAAAGTCTGAGGACAGAAAAACAGTAGTATATCCATACAATGGTATAACCATACAGCAATCAAAAAGAACCAACATGTATGTGAATGAATAAGAATCTCACATATTACTAAATGAAGACAAACACAATATGTACAATGTGACTCTTTTTAAAATGAGAAACTGACAAAACTAATGGTGTTAGGTCAGTGATTACTTCTGAAAAGGAGGTAGTAAGTAGAGGGGTTAAGTGGCTCATGTTTTGGGATACTGGCTAATGTTGTAGTACTTGATCTTTTGGTTTGGTTTTTTTTTTTGATACCAGGGATCAAACTCTGGACCTTGGGCTTTTGAGGCAGGTGGCAGAACCACTGAGCTAAATCCCCGGCCCTGTAGTATTTGATCTTTTTTTTTTTTTTTTTGTAGTACTTGATTTTGATGGTTACATGAATTGTCAGTACTGGTATGTTTGGTATATCTGTATATTTGGTTTTGTTCTATGCATTCAAAACTTAAGAAAATAATTCATATCTTTTTTGGGGGGAGGGGGCTAGTACTAGAGATTAAACATAGACCTTTACATTGAGTTATATGCACAGCCCAGTTTTTTTGTTTTGTTTTTAAATTTTTAGACAGCACGTCACTAAGTCACTCATTTGCCAGGAGTGGGCTCAAACTTGCAATTCTCCCACCTCAGGCTCCCAAAGTGCTGGGATACAGGTGTGCGCCATGATGCCTGGCTTGTTTTGTTTTGTTTCATTTTTGTTTTAACTCATCACATTCCACATTCTAAAACGCTCCATTTACCTGATGGCTGGAGTCCTCAGTGCTCTTCTTGATGAAGTCTTCTAGCTCCTGTTTATCTTTCATTGTCTTCTCTAGCTGATCATTAGCTTGCCTTAGCATCACCTGAAGTTTTTTTACCTATATAATTTTAAAGCTCAATTACAAGGAAGAACCATAATTTTTTTTCCTTTTCTTTTCTCTCAGTGCTGGGAATTAAACCTAGGACCTCACACATGCTACCCAAGTATCTACCACTGAGCTACACCCTCAGCCCATAGTTATTCTATAAATTAAAACAAAGAACAACTTGAGAGTCTGAGGCAGAAGGACTGCAAATTCAAGGCCAGTTTGAGCTACAGAGCAAGACTGCCCCAAAAAACAAAGAAACCATAAATAACAGAAACAAAATTAAAACAACAACAGAAAACACCAAACCCAACTCCAGAATCTTTTCTTTTTTTTTTTTTGGTACCGGAGATCGGAGATTAAACTCGGGACCTTGTGCTTGCTTGCGAGGCAAGCAGCAGAACCACTGAGCTAAATCCCCAGCCCTCCAGAATCTTTTTTAAATCTTTAATTTTTTTTGAGAATATGTCAATTCAGAAAGAAATGGAATGACCTCATGAGACAACTGTGCAGTGATTTACAGTTAACAAATCATTTTTCATACACATGATTTCGTTTGAAAACTGTTTTCCCTATGGACCCTTTCAGCTCTAGCACTGGACTCCTTGCTCTATTCTATCCTCTGCCTCCAATCTACAATCCATGGAAACACTAAATTTTATAAAAATGAAAAATAGTTATTATTTCTTACTTTAAAAGACCCCAGGGCTGGGGATTTAGCTCAGTGGTTCCGCCACCTGCTTTGCAAGCACAAAGTCCCGAGTTTGATCCCTGGTACCAAAAAAAACCCCCAAAAAAACACAAACAAAAGGCCCCAAATGCCCTCCAGTGCCATCAAGGTTAAATCTAAATACTCCCTCAATCATCACACTGCCTCAATGATATCATCCTGGCTTTCCTTTGCAGCTTCTTCTAGCATTATTTTATAACATCCCTTTCCCAGCCTAAAAAACTACTCCTAATTTCTAAACTGCAAACTTTTCTTTCACAACTCTGTTCCTTTGTACATCTTTACTTTCCTTGAGCACTCTTTCTTTCTCTCCTTCCCTACCTTTCCCAAATAATTTTTAACCTAGGCTCTAAAACAAACAGCTCAAGTGTTGCCTTTCCTGAGCCTACAGCTAAGTTGTGTGCCCTCTTCTAATTCCAATTGTATGTCTCCAGGAACAAACAGTACTGAATTGATGTTTCAGATCACAACTCTTAAAGCTTACAGGAAATAACTGTCTTCTTGCTGTATTTGAAAGGCCAAGGCCCAGGAAAACACCAGACATAGAAGAGGCATCAGTAATGGTTACAGAGAGGACAAAGGGATCCAAGATGGCCTATTTTCATCCCACATTATCAGAGGCCAACTCTCTGAGTTTTGCAAATATTTTTAAAAATCTACCTTTGAAATATCCATGAAAAGAGAATATATGGGGCTGGGGATTTAGCTCAGTGGTGTCACCGCCTGCCTAGCAAGCGCAAGGTCCCAAGTTCGATCCCCGGTACCAAAAAACAACAACAAAAAAGAAAATATATGGAGGAACTCAGTGCCAATAATGTTTAAAAATATTAAACTAATCCTAATCTATTTTGAGTTCTTCAAAGATTAAAGGAACACTCTTCACATTAAAGAACAATTACATTTGCTTCCACAAGTCAACTTTTGAGACATTCTACATTATTTTCTAAATGTTATCAGGGTATCCATTATTCAATACTGTTATTTGTAAAAGTACTCAGGGCTTGTCAATCTGAGCATAGATAATCCATATGTCTGTAAATTAATTTTAATCAATTCAACAAATTTATGTCAAGAAGTAGCCAATTAGAAATGAATATTCCAAATTCTTATTCATATGATTCAATTAAGCTTTTATTGTATCAGATGCAGTAGTCAACTTCCTATCTCCCTCATCTCCATTTCATGAAGTATCTCCACGTGCATAAGATCATGCCAACATTACATCTGAGCACTAGATGGGAAAGAAAAGAGGAGAAAGGAGATGAGGTGGCATTTTTCTAAAAGCTGAAGGGACCCATGTGGTATTGACACATTAATGAAGCACAGATATACAAAGCAAAATCCTACTGGGCTCCTAATGGAAGTGTAACAGCCACTGAATCTGCCAGATTATTTCATAATTTATCAATATAGATATGCTTCATAAGCAAATGAGGGGAACAGACAATTCTACACCTCCAAATGAAAAACTACAACAGTTCACCAATTTGGCACATCCAAATGAAACTCACCTGGTCTCTTGTTTCAGCCTCCTGAATCTGAATTCCTTGTAATTGTTTTTCATAATTGGAACACATATCACAACGTCTCCCAAGTTTATTTCCAGCATTATGAACCTGAAGGGTATCAAACTTATCTCTTATCAGGCAGAACAAAGTAATTCTGTATCACATATCTTTAGGAACACAAGCACAGTCTTAGCACTATTACTCAAAAGTGTAGTATAGAGTAAGCTATTTCTCCAGGGTCTTATGGTTAGAAGTTATAATATGGTTAGAAGTCATAACCTCCAGTACAAATATGATAGGAAAACAAGGGCCACAAAACATCATATTTGAGGAATACAAGCAAAAAGTGCTACACTGTGGCACTAAGAATTTAAATCAATTGATACCCAACGAATGGGAAAGGGAAAAAAAGGAAAAACAATGCCAGTTCCCCATTTCACCAGCTCCAATTACAAAACAGGTATGAAACTATTAAGTAGCACCTTCACATATTTGTTTTGCATGAGACCAAGAAGAATAGCTTCTTTCAGGCTTAATAAGCTACTCTACTTCCTGATTAAGTGCTTCTTTAAAAAGAAGTAGCCTAAGTGAGGGAAACCACTACAAACCAGAACACCTGGATTCTAGCCCAGGCTTTGCTACTAGGTCAAGGGGAACATTTGAATAAGGCTTGAAATTTCTGAGCCAGTTGCTTCTTCTGTAAACCGAAGACAATCATGCTCTGATTGCTTCATTACAATCACAAAGCTTAGAGGAGGTATGTGAAAGGGCTCTGTAATCTGTAAAGCATTATGTAAATACATATTTAGGTTTTTATCTCCTAAACTTTTGAATTTGCACAGATTCTGAGGAAAATTGCCCTCATTAAAGGATGCCTTCTTTTCTCTCTATTTTTTGACCCTCTCCTAAAACCCACTTTCTGGTGATGAACATTTTCATTTCACACCTAAAGGAAAGAAGAATGAGTGTGAATTGTGAATACGGATTTTAGAAAAATGAAATTTGGGCTACTCTAATTTGATGATGCTCATAAAACATATTGCTCCAATTCTAACACCATTAGCTAGTTAGTTCCCTTCTCTGTCACAAACAACATGGAAGAGCTAAAGCAAAATATGACAAGGGAAAATGATATGGGTTAACATTTACTTGTAGGCAACACATGCCTGCTCTCACTCCAGGCGTTACTTAAAGAATAAATCTGAGAGCTACCTTGTATGCCTCAGAGTAAGTATAAGGGAAAAGAACAAAATAACTCACCTCTTTCTGCAGGAGATTCCACTCTGTCTCACTGACTAAGCGGTAACCACTGGGAGACACATAAGCACTCTCCATACCCTGGGTAACACTGGAGAGGAGGGATGCTGTCTCTTCTTGTTCTGGTGTCATCGCCTTGATTGCTCTTTCTTGATCTTTGGTTAACATAAACCCACTTGGCATTTGCAGTGACCCAAGTGATGCAGTATCAAAGTTCTCAGATACTGAATCTGCTCCTACCAGAGGTCCAAAATCCGACTCATCAAGGTTTCCAGCAGATTTTGCTTTGAAGTTATGGCCTAAAGCTTTGGACTGCAATGAGCCCGAGGTTCCCAAGCTGTCTGTAGACTGTGCTCTCCTGAGTCCATCTTTAAACATGTCATTATCCGATTTACTGAATGGATCTACAGACGGTAACAATAAATCTGCATCTAAGGAATGGACTGAACCATGGGTACTGTCTACATGCTCCTGAAATGTGAAAATATGTTATTTCCAAGTTAGACAATTCTCTGTATCTCTAAAGAGGAAAACTACCATATACTTAATGTATTTTGCCATGTTACAAATAACCATTAATGTGCTATTTTCATATATAGCATTAAACAAATATTTAGAGTGTCTTCTACATGACACTCTTTGGGCACTAAACCTGGTATTGAGAATATAAGAGGTGGATTAGCTATAAGTTATTTTTTATTTGTGTATTTCCTATACTTTTCAAATCTTCCGTAATATTTTTATATTACTTTTCCTATTACTTACTGAGAAAAGCATATTCTAAGCATCATGCTAAAAAAGAGGTCCTAAAAATTCTAAATGTTTTTAGCATAAGTCTAAATTTCCAAAGCATTCCATATTAACTTTAAACACAAAACAATAATATACAACACTCAAACTCCAAAATATCAGAACTTAAAGTCTAAAAGGTATTTCAAATGTTGGGAAATAATGTTATGCATAATGTTATCTAGATATGTTAAGATAGAAAACTTTACTGTGATCCTAACAATTTTCCCTTTCCTGTTTTCCTGCTTTTCAAACATTCCTGGATAGATGACTACATGATGCACAAATCATGTAATATTTGGTTGCACCCAGAAATTGAGACATTCTTCTGGAAATCTATCTTAAAAATGTACAGCAGAATTAGGTCAAGTGGTCCTCAGTGTATGCTCCAAAACAAAGAATGCACAAAAACAACTACATCATACTTTTCAGTGTCTACTAGGATTTAAAAAGAAATTTAACGTCCAATTGTTCCTACTACTCATAAAATGAAAATATAAGCCACCAGAAAGACTATACAAGGCTCAGAGTAAATCTACAAACTAAACAAATATGGTATCTCTGAAAATGAATAAAAGATTTTTAATCAATCTAAAACTTGTTCACTGAGCTAGCAAAAGAGGTGGGGGTTGAGAAAGTGTGTATGAATTTTTTTTTTCAGAGCTCAGAACCAAATCCAGAGCCTAAAACATGCTAAACAAGTAGTCTACTATTGAGCTACACCTCCATCCCCATGAGTACAAAACTCTACAAGGTATTTCAAAAGGCACAGAATAAATAAGTGTTATAAGCATGCATAGTAAGTAAGCAGACCAGTCTGGCTTTACTGAAGTAAGAGCACTGGATAGGCTAGAAAGGCCATTCAAATGGGAAGGCCCTTGCACACCCAGCTAAGGATCTCAGTTCTTATCTGAAGGCAACAAGAGAAGGATTTCATTCATTGAAAAGGAGGTATCAGCATGAACATTTCAATGCTCAGAAAGGCAGAGGGAGGCAAACATTCCAGGTCCAAACCCAATATGCAAGGTAGAGAGACAATGAACAATGTGGTTAAAATAAAACACTTAGGATGAAGGCCTCAACTGTCTGTGTGAAAAATTTATACTCAACAATACAGGTAATGGGAGGCTGTGATGGCTACTGAGTAGAAGAGTGGCCTGACTATAGCTGTACTTAAGAAAATGAATTTGAAAGTAACTCTAAGAGTACAATGGAGTGGACAGGCTGAAAGTAGCAAACCCAGTGATGAGGCCCTTGCCACAATGCAAGTGAGAGGTGATGAGACCAAAGGAACACTACCTTATCTTTTCCACCTCTAGGTCTCTCTACCCATTCCCAATAACTGCCTTGTTCCACAAGCCCTCACAGCAGTCTGCCAAACTTGACTCTCTGTTCTCAGAGCTGAAGACCTAACACTGGTTAAAACTGACACGTATGTTACAGGAAGCTAAATTTTTCTATACTTTAATCTTTTCTAAACAAAAAGTAAAAGTATTAGCAATATTTATTACATCAAAAAAGATTTTGCAGATATCATTTAAAGATTTATTCTAATGTATTAAATTCTTGAGCCAGACATAGTGGCACATGCCTGTAATACCAGAGCTCAGGAGGCTAATGCAGGAGGATTCCCAGAAGTTCAAGGCCAGCCTGAACTACATAGCAAGATCCTGTCCCAAAAAAACAAAAGGAAAGAAAGAAAAAAAAACTTGAATTATTGGTGAAAAGAACATCTAATTACTTCACATGGTAAATGAAACACCAATATATTTCAAGTAGCACTATCTTTAATGTCATAAAAACAAAAGAACACTAATAGAATAGAATAGAAACAATAGAATACTAATTTTCAGCTATCTACTTCCCAAACAATGTACCTGACTGACATATGAGCAGGCCAAAAATGGTGACAATGTGTACCTAATAACTTTTTTTTTGAGATACCTTCAATCGCGGGGGTCAAGAAATCCTCCTTCCTTAACCTTCTGAGTACCTGGGACTAACAGGCATGTGTTACTGCACCTAGCTTATAAAATAATTTTAATTATATACCTCTTCATTTGATAAGTGGACTGAAGATTCTTCTTGAGTTAAAGCACATACTACTGGTACTTTTAGTTCTTCTTCAATGTCTGTTTTTTTATGATCTTTTCTCTTATTAAGTTTCTGTTGTTCATCATCTTCCTAAAAAGAAGAAAAAAGCATACATATTACCCAGGTAACCTGTACTGACAAGTCATACAGTTCTTTAATCACACAAAACAATTTTTTAAAAAGAGCATACTTTATGTTTTTGTTTGTTTGTTTTTTGGGTTTTCTGAGACAAGGTCTCACTCAGGCCTGTCTCAAACTCATAGCAATCCAGCCTTTCAGCCTTCCAAGTGCTGGGATTACATGCGTGTATACCACCACGCCCAGGTCAGAGAGCTTAATGATAACAGAAAATTGAACAGTTAAGCTTATTTGTTTTGTGACCACATTTACAGGCCTGTGGTCATTACAAAATATTTTAATACTTTAATATTTTAATAACTTAATATTTTAATGTAAGCACAAATTAAGAACTCTGCTATAAAGAAAAAATAAGGAAGCAGCCTCCAAGAAAAGAACACTACGAAAGTAAGTCAAAACAAAAGAAAACTTCCAGGTGAAGTGGCACATGCCTGTAATCCCAGCACTTTGGAGGCTGAGGTAGGAGGATCACTGAGAGTTCAAGGCCAGCCTGGGCTACATATTGAGTTCAAAATCAGCCTGAAGTACATACTGAGACCCTGCCTCAAAAAAAAAAAAAGGCAAGAAAGAAAAAAAAAAGAAAGCTCTCCCCTTCAAATAATCTCAAAAAAGAAAATTTACATAGAACATTTCTTCTAATTATTGTAAAAATAGGAACGTTACTAGGACATTATACACCCATTAGAAATGTATATAAATTTACATAAAATACAACAGGAATTATCTAAATTGATGTAATAATTCACTCAAGAAGATGAATAAGATAATCTTCAATGCCCAAGACAGTCTAGTGAAGTAGAAAAAACACACAACTACAATATATGTTGAAAATTCTACAGGATGAGAAAAACAAAGACCTATTTCATCTGAGGGAAAGGAAAAGGGGGCCAAATAAGGTAACACTTCAGCTGATTCTTGAATGAACAGTAAAATGAGTTTGCCACTTGCATGTGAAGAGACAGAGGGTCCAAGGAGAAAGGAAGAAGCAAGCACAAAAGACAGAGGTCTAGAAGAGCAGGCTTGTGGGCCAATACTGAATAATTCACTGTGACTGAAAAGCACACGGGTGCATCAAAAATTAGGGACACAGAGAAAGGGACAGTGATTACATGCTTAGCCTCTGGACTCAGACACTGGCTCAAACCTCAGAGGTGCCACTGCTTTTCTCAGCCTGTTTCCTAGCCTGTAACAAAGGATTAATTCTGTAGTGCCCATTTCATATGGTGTTTTGTTGTTTTCTGAGAACTGACTGAGATAAGGTTTTATATATAAAACCTTAACACAATACTAGCAAGCACATAGTAAATGCTAATAAAAGCCTTAACAACCTCAGTAAGGCTTAGACTGTTTTTTTAAAGGGCAGCAAAAGATCCACAACAGATCTGTACTTTAGAATCTAAATTCTTAGGTTGACAATGTCTACCCACAAGATGAATGAATCTGAATTAAAAGACAAAAAAGAATTTTTTTTAAAAAGATAGGGTCTCACTATGCAGTTCAAGCTAGTCCTAAACTCACTATATAGCTCACACTGGCCTCGAACTCATGGCAATCCTCCTGCCTCAGCCTCCCAAGTGCTGGCATTACAGGCATGCACCACCATGGCCAGCTTCAAAAACAGAAACTTCTGTAGAAGAAAATCTAATTGAAGTCACATAAGGCAATTTAAAATATTTCTTTTTTTTTTTCTTTCATTTTTTTGGGGGGGTACCAGGCATCAAACTCAGGACCTTGCACTTGCGAGGCAGGCAGTGGCACCACTGGGCTAAATCCCTGGCCCTAAAATATTTCTTAAAATACCTCGAAAAGCAGTGAACACTTTTATGTAGCTATTCTAAGGATATATTGGCACACACGTACAACATGGAAAAGATACTAGCTGCAAAACTCCTTGAGATGACAAAAGAAAGGAGAAAGGATCTAGCTGCCCATATAAAGAAAGATTAAATCAACTATAATACATCCATGCTACCAAATAACAAGAATGGATAGAACTCTGATATGAAAATATATCCAGGATTATTATTATGGGGAAAATAAGTTATAGTATCAGTATTTATGGTATGATATAAATTGCATGGGGCAAAGGGAGCTACCCTAAATGTATGCCATAAATATATGGAACTTGAGGCAGGATCACTGCGAGTTTGAGGCCAGCCTGGGCTACAAAGTGAGTTCAAGCCTAGCCTGAACTGCATAGTGTCTCAAAAAGACCAAAAAAACAAAAAAAAGAAACAAATATATGGAACTAGTCTGGAAGACTCTCTAACTAGGAAATGCAGCTATTTCTGGGAAAGAGAAGTGTGGGAGATACCAAGGGGGATTTTCATTCAATCACTTTAAACTTAATTATTTCATTTTGTATTTAAAATAAGCCATAATTAACATGACAGTACATTTTTATGTTGATCATGTAATTTTAATTTTTTAAAAAATAAACAGGATATTGGGTATGAAGCATTCTGAACATCTATCCGTATCATTCAGCTTCTCCATCCCTATTCTGTCACCTTCTAAGCAAGCTTTTAGAGCAATGTGACCAAAAAATTTGTCCTGGATAGACAAACTCAGGAACCCGAGGAGAACTACACAGCACCATAGAGAAAGAGTTTCTCAGAAATATGCACTGTTGCATCCTTCAGTCTCTGATAAGGGTCATTTTTAAAGTTTTTTTTCCCCCTAGATAAAGCCATTTGTAAAGTTGAAAGACAAAATCCCTCAAATGTAGCTTTTAAGTTAAAGAAAATATTTTTTAAAAATCCAGGAGCAAGTGATACGGCTCAGTGGTGCAGCACTTGCCTAGAATGTACAAGACCCTTAGTTTGATCCCCAGCAAAGCAAATAATAAAAGCAGCAAACATTACCTTCTAGCTTAAGTCAATCTCTGAGATATGTAAGGTAATAAAATCACAGTGTGTGTGTGCGCTACTGTTAACAACATAAACAAGTCCCACAAAACTGCTATTCACCTGATCTTTCTTCTTCAGTTCTTCAACTTGTCGGAGCTGTTCTGAAGTTAGCACAATCTCCATTCGCTGCATGTCTCTCATCAGCAAACGCTGAGATTCCAGAAACTGGTCATTAGCCTTCTGCCATGTATGTTTTAACTGGTTGTGTTGCTGTCGCTCTTGCTCCAAGAGATGGCAAACTGTTTAAGAAACCCCGCCAATCAAAAGCAATGAATTTTAATGGAAGGAAATTTCTTTAGCATAGGGGTACTGGTTCAGGTCTGGCCAATGTTTCATTTTGTCTGGGACTTTGCCCTTGGCTGGCACCGAGGAGCAATCTATAGTTGAACAGGGCAGCTATCTCCAAACCATCTTTCTAATGCAGTCTCTCAAAATGTGCTCCTATCCTTAACCACATTTAGAAGTTCTAGATGATATATAATACAGCATTTCCCAAATTTATTTGACAAAAAAGCACTTTTCACAGTTCAACTCAAATGAACAAGTGTGCAGGAAATACTCTTTGGCAAATAACTACTCTAAAGACCAAAGTGTAATAACCACTTGTAATTGTGTTTAGCACATTTTGATACATCTGTCATCCAGGAATCCCTCCTGGGCCCATTGACTGTTGACCTCTCATGGTATGTCAAGGAATCTTTGTAAAATGCATCCATTGTTGACACCACCAGCTCAGCCATTTTATACTGCTGACATCTGCCTAGCCACTCAAGTCAGAAACCTGAGACACAACCATACTTCTCCTTACCCCAACACATTCAGCAAAGACTGAGACCTACTAGTTCTGCCTCCTTTGCAGAATGACACATCTGACTTCTGTCTTAGACCAACACTTTACAAGTCAATTGTGACAGCAGTCCCTTTTCTCATTCTTCCTGTCCTCAATCTTGCCCTCTTTTTCCTATCCTCCACACTGGTGTTAAATTGAACTTTCTAAAATACAAAATTAGTATTATTTCTCTCCAGTTTAAAAGCCTTGAGTGAAGCCAGATGTTAAAGGGCACATATTATAAAATCTCATTCATATTAAAGTCCAAAATAGGCAAATCCACAAAAACACAAAGTAGATTCATGATTGCTGCTGGCGTGGGCAAGGAAAGATAGGGAGTGACTGAAAATAGGGCACAAGATTTTCTTTTTGAGGTAATGAAAATGTTTTGAAATTAGACAGTGGTTGATAGTGCACAATTCTGTGAATATGTTTAAAAACATTAAATTGTATACTTTAAAAGATGCATGTGAATTATAACTCAATGAAACTATTCTTTTTAAAAAATACCTTCAGAGACTCCTTACTGCCCATTTGATAAAATTCAACATCCTTAGCTTAAGACCCTGGTGATCTGACTCATGTCCACTGCTCTAATCCATATTTTTTCCGTTGTCTCTTGCATCCTAATTGTACCAAAGCACTCTTCTTGTACTTCTTCAGTTAGCTATACTACATGCAAACAGCCTTGCCTGCCATGCTCCTCTTGGGCTACCTGACAAGTACCTAGCCATCTTTCAAACTCCACTTAATAGAAGAAAAAACAACAGAATAACAAAAAAAAAAGAATAAACTAAACTCCACTTAAGAGTAATTTTTTCGGGCCGGGGATTTAGCTCAGTGGTTCTGGTGCCTGCCTCACAAGCGCAATGTCCCGAATTTGATCCCCAGTACCAAAAAAAAGAGTAATTTTTTCCAGCCAAGCACAGTGGTACATGCCTATAGTATCAGCTACTTAGGAGGCTGAGGCAGGAGGATTGCTTGTGCTCAGTAGTTCAAGACTAGCCTCAGCAATACAGTGAGACTCTATGTCAATAAATAAAACCAACCAAACAAAAAGAATAACCTTTTTAATAAACCCATCTGTTCTTAGGACAAAAAGAACAGTCCATTCTTGGGCTGGGGATATAGCTCAGTGTTAGACCACTATGAAAGGCTCTGAATTCAATCCCAGCACAAGAAAAAAAAAAAGAAGGAAAAGAATTGGCCACTCTTTACCTCTTCACTGGTGGCACTACCATATCCGGACACACTTCCCAGCATAGCACTCATTTGACTGCATATCTATTTCCACCAATTTAGGCTGTAAATTACACTGCTGTTCAATTTTTATCTGTCTTCTCATTTAAAGACCCCAGTTTTCAGTGTTTTATAGTACAGAAAATACTCCATGCCCTTCCTCATTTTTATTAACTTTCTCAGACACTTCTTTCAGATAGATCAGGAAGCTCTGGTAGTCACAATGACTTACACTATTTCTGGAAGGGTTGGAATGCAAAATTTAGCCAGAAATTCTTTCTTTTGGATACCCTCTGACAGCATAGGTATCACCAACTACAACAGTGCATCTGAAAACTGTTTCCTAAAGACAAAGACCCATTCAATGTTTAGGTAATTTTCACAACATTTTATGAAATAATTCTGTAGACTGGTATCATTTTGGCTTTCCACTATTTGGGAAAAAACAAACTCATATGTAAACCTAAATTATTTTTAGCTCTATTTTCCATAGCATTTGAAATACTTAAAAGTTTTCATTGTAGAACTCTATCACCACAGTCCAAACCTTGCACATTAAAGTATGTTCCAGTACAGTATAACCCACAATTTAAAAGGACTTAAAGGAGTCCACAATTTGGATAAGAAAAAAAAAGTTAGACTTTTATTTTCACTATCTCCTAACTGAAACTCATCATTTCCCTAACTGTAAAATGTAGAAACAAATTACAGGATTAATAATATCTATGATTTGATCACTAATAGAAATTTTTATATTTTACTTGTTACAGCTATCTTAATATATCATTTATGCTCATCCTTATTACAAAATTACCAGTCATTAAACTTGTTGCTAGACCTTGCTATTTACTTATTTTTGTTTGTTTGGTTGGTTTTGGGGGTTTTTTGGTTTTTTGCTTTTTTTGGTTTTGTTTTTTAAGACAGGATCTCGCTATGTAGTTTAGCCTGGCCTTGAACTCATTATGTAACCTAGGCTGGCCTCGAACACTTGGCAATCTTCCTACCTCAGCCTCCCAAGTGCTAGGATTACAGATGTGCACTGCCATGCCGAGCTCTTAATCTTTGCTGTTTAAAATAGACATTTATTAATGATAGCTATATGATTAAGGGTTTTTTAAAATTCTTGATAGGGCCAGGGACTTAGCTCAGTGGTACAGCACCTGCCTGGCAAGTGCGAGGCCCTGGGCTCGATCCCTGGTATCAAAAAAAAAAAATTCTTGATAATCAGTTTGGAAAATACAGAGTTAATTTGTGCATCATTCTGATACAAGACTAGTAATATTAAAATTGTTGCTTAGAAACAGAAATGTTACATAAGGCCTCCAGAATGCACTGTCCAAACTCTCTATCCCACTATCATTTTTGCTAATTCAACCCCATCAAAATAAATGTTTAAACAAGTTTCCAGCCTTATGATCTTTCTGCTCAAAGCAAAGGCCTTGTGACATCTTTACTGGGGTTATGGAGGAAAGAGGAGCCATTAACACAATCCAACCCCCTTACTAGTCCTCACACCCTTAGCTTTTCATGAGAACATTCAAAGTGATCACAAAGCTTAAATTCAATCACAAATATGTTGCATGGGTGTTTTAGAATTTGTTATTGTTAGTCAATATCAATTTTATTTTACTTAGTTCTATCAGAGATTGAAATAAAAATATTTAGAACATTTATTTACCTTCATGTAATTCTTTCCGAAGTTTTTCAGCATCTTCCTGAAGAACAGATTTCTGAGTATTCAAAACAGCTACATACATCTCCAGATCAGTCCTACAAGATTTCTCAGCTTCCAGATAATGATTCAGTTCTTTAACCTAAAAGAAGATGCAATTCTATCAAACTGAAATTTACAATAGTGTCTATCTTAGGTGTATAATGGTAATCTGTAAAAAACAAAAAAAAAAATGGTAAATTCTTTACAATTTTACATTTACATAAATCTACATTTATAAAAAAACTAATATTTATAATTTTAATCATAAAACACATATTACAGAAAACTCAGGAAAGCACAATAGTTATTCTCAATAATCCCATCATCTCAGTAAATATGCAATTGAGATGTTTGTGCCTTGCTTTACAAAAATGTAGCTCTAGTTTGCATGTCCAGAGCAATGTATGCATATGCCTCTTTAATCCTATACAATAATATAGTATATGCTTTGCTTTTTTGTTAAACAGTAATTTCTAAGGATAAAAATTGTACTGTGTCTTTTAGCTTTGCTTTTTAAAATTTCTGGTGAGGTAATTCCAAATGCCTTAAATTTATAATAAAGGACAAACTTTTCACTGACACATATATTCATGGAAGCTGAGAGAGGAAGTCACTATAACCACACAAACTTGAAGGCAAATGCAGAATATTTTTTCCCTTTTTTTCTTTTTTCTGGTACTGGGAACTGAACTTAGGATCTTGCACTTGCCAGGCAGGCACAGCACCGCTGAGCTACATCCCCAGCCCTGAATGTAGAATATTTTTTAAAATCATATCTTTTCATAAAATCCTTTATTTCTGAAGGATTAACAATATTCAGAATATTAACAATACAGTCTAAATATGTGAAATACTTATAGCCAAAGTAAAATACAAAACTACCCCAGAAAATCTAGTACAAGTCACTTGTTTTACCTTATCATGTAAACTGTTCATCCTAAATTCTAATCATTGAGTTAACTTTCAGCTTTTTCAAGTGGTTATATCTAATTTCATATTCAAAGGTCATTTTCACACCTTTTATCTTCTTACTTCTTTAAACTTAAAACAGTTATCTTTATTCCTAGGCCATTATAGTCAGATACTAAAATGATTAAGCTGTGGTTTGATGCTTTGCTAGAAATTGTCAGGCAATGATAAGGCATTAAACATGCATGGCAAAGTGGTGACCATTGTAAGGCACTTTCTCTGCTATCAGCTGACAGTCACAGAAAACCAACATGGCAGTATAAAATGGTGGTATACCATTACACTTGATTCTAGCCAAAAGGCCAAGATAATGATATCTAAGTACTTTATTTTTTTTTTTTGGTATGGGGAATCAAACTCAGGACCTTGCTCTTGCAAGGCAGGCAGCAGCACCACTGAGCTAAATCCCCAGCCCCAAAGTACTGTATTTTTAATTCGGATTGTTAGGGGATAAGGAATTTATCAAATTCAAATACTAATGCTACTACTTCTACAATCTTCCCAAACTTATTCACAATAGCTTTCAAATATTTGAAATTAATTATTATTAATTGATTTGAATGTTTATTCTAAGAAGTTACAGCTGGTAGAATGAGTAGATGTATACCACCACACCAACTAGATTCTTGAGTTAAATATTCACATTACTCACTCTAAATATCTTATGTTTACTTTTTCCAAGAGCTGTTTTTCTTCTGTTTCTAGGCATTTTTAATTGTCATTTTATTATAAATAATCAAATAACCTGTGATCAGAGAATTGGGTCTGTACAATATCAGTTCCTTTAAATTTGTTGATCCTTCCTTTGTGACCTTATGAGAAGATACATGTTAAAATATATTATGTATCTAAATGTATGCTTTGCCGAATGTACCACCCTGTTTGTATTAATTGGAATGATCCCATAATACCCTTGAGGTAAATAACCTTATTTTACCTACTTTATGACTGAGAAAACTAAAAGCATAGTAAGATTAATTTGCCCAAGGTGATAACACTGAACTTTTAACTACTACACTCTACTACTACATAAAACATTGTCTCTTTCTTGGGTACAGGGTTTAGTGTGTCTATTAAATAAAATAATTATCCTAATTTTTCAGAACTCCTACAGCCCTATTGTTTTTTTCTGTTTGCCTTCCTTGTCTAATGATCAGTTCTCCTACTGTAATTTGTGAATATCAGTTTCTCCACATAACTGTCACCTTTTAATTCACACATATCAGAATTATACAGGGTAGCCAGGCATGGTGGAGCATGTTTATAATCCCAACACTCTGGGAGGCTGAGACAGGAGGATCCAAAGTTCAAGCTTAGCCTGGGAAAATCATCAAGACTATCTCAAAATTTTAAAAAAATGAAAAAGGCTAGATAGCTCAGTGCAAAAGCCCTGGGTTAGATCCCCAGTTTAAAAAGAAAAAAAAAAAGATTACAGAAGATTCATTCAAATTCATGATCTTACTAATGAATTATTAGATAGGGTCCTTTTTTGTCTCTATTAGTTCTTTCTACCCTTATCCTGTTTGATGTAACAGTTGTTTTACTATTTTCTTTTGGTTAAGATTTATATATCTGTATTTCTTTAATCTTACCTTGTGGTTTTATTCTAGGTACATCTCTTAAGCAATAAAAACTTAGATTTTAAAAAAATCTGATAATATTGTAGTATGTATCAGTTTACTTTTACCAGGCTTAATGATATTCTTACTCCCATTTTGTGTCAGGCAATTTTTTTTTTTTTTTTTTTTTTTTTTGGTACCGGGGATGAAACTCAGGACCTTGCACTTTCGAGGCAGGCAGTGGAACTACTTAGCTAAATCCCCAGCCCCTTATTCCTATTTTGTACTTTCATCTTTTTCCCAGTTTCTTTCTTTCCTATTTTCTTTTCAGTATTTACCTTTTTCTCCTCCTTTCCTTTAGTGTACCTAGGAGGTGAACCCAGGGGCTTCGTGCATACTAAGTATTACAGTTTGGATCTGAAACATCATCCAAAAGAATCATGTGTTGAAGGCTTGGTTCCAAATGCAACAATGTTTAGAGGTGGGGCTTTTGGGAAGTCACTGGATCACAATGGCTCTAACCTCATCAATGACCATTAACAGATTAATCCACTAAAGGATATATAATTTAATGGCCTACTGGGATCTCTCTCTCTCTCTCTCTCTCTCTCTCTCTCTCGCTGTGTCTTTCCTGCCTACCAAGATGTTCTGTCTCATCGGGGGACCAGAAGCAACAGACCCAAGTGATCATGGACTCAAACTTCTAAAAACGGTGTCCCAAAATAAACCTTTCCTACTTTCAACTTGATTTTCTCAGGTATTTTTCCATAATGATGGAAAGCTAACAAACACCCTCACTGAAGGGGAGCTAAATCATCAGCTTCCTACTTTCTTCTATTAAAAGGTTCAACACAACTCCCTTTGTGTTTCTTTACTGTCTTTATGGCAAACAAATTCAGCCATACTATAGCTATATCATCTCTAAAAGGTAAGTCTGAGGCTAGCATAGGAAAATAAAGTCAACTTTGAAGACTATTTTCCTCGATAAGAAAATTTAATGGGATTAAGTCTCATTTTGATAAGAAAAGGAACAATAGCTTTGAAATAAAGTAGCCACTGTGATAAGGCATCATTATTGTGATTATTTATTTATTGTTGTTTGTTTTTGGTACTGGGGATTGAACTCGGGACCTTGTGCTTTCGCGTGTGATTATTTATTTAAAATATCCATATGGGCAAATCATCTCAATGCAGTTTTTCTGTATTTTAAACCAAAGCAAGGTTCATAAAATACATAGTCTAAATTAGTTTATACCCCTTGGTGATTCTAATTTTGTTCATGGCATTAGGCCCCATGGATTACAATGTTTCACAACCTTTGAGGCCTCCAACTCTTTAATCTTGTCTTCAGCCTCTGTCAGCTTATCTTTCAAAGCTGCAATTTCCTTCTCCATGGGCATCACAACAGACCGAAGTTTTTCAGCATCTTCTTGGGCCTGTGGTTAAAAACAAGAATTAAATGTAACAACTTATTCATTTATTGCTTTTCAGAGAAATTCTGGCACATCCATTTGGTAAAAATTAATATAACAAATAACTATATTAAGCACTTTATTGAAGTTTCAAAACTGAAGTAAATCTAACTTTTCAATGGTACATTACTAGAATGTCAAATCATAATCAATTTTCCCAGATATTTCATTTAAAATTTGAAACAGAAAAATACATTCACTATGACAGATTTGACTTGGGGG